GCTAAACTCAGCTCTTCACAGCAACTTGGTATGTCCTCGAGCAAGCTGCTGTCCTGCACAGAGCCCTGTGGTGAGGGCTTCCTTTAAACAAAGTGGTGCCTGGGGGCACACTTCCCATGGGCTGGGATGGAGACCCGGGCATTTCCAGACCAGTGAGATAATGTGAGGTTGGAGGCCTGTCTGCATAGTATCTCCCTGACCATGGGCTCCAAGATCAGGGACTGAGAGTGTGACAACTCCCCCGTCACTGTGCATAGGTGCAGGGTGGGTGACGGAGGAGACTCCACAGAGATGGGTGCATAGCCTTGGTCGGCTGAGCCTTCCAGCAGACATGGATTCCGGTCCCAGCTGCCCGACCCCGGGCAAGACACTCTCTGAGCCTCAGTTTCCCTGTGTGTAAAATGGTGTAACACCTTTTGGGGGGATGCGAGGATTCTGTGGGTGGAAGCATGCGGGCACCGGGCCGCACTCCTGGCCCAAACCCACTTGCTTGAGTGCACCCCATCATAGTTACCTTGTCACGACCCCAGGAGAGAGTTGACTTGAGGCCCACTGTGGAGAACAGCAAGTGCTGGGGGGTCTGGGGCAGGGAGGAAGTGCCTTCCCATGACGGTTTTGGCTCCAGGTCGCCACACAGCTTCACTGGCATAAGAGTGGATTGTTTCTTCCAGCGTTCACTCGGCGGGGCGAAGGCTGCAAACTGGTTTTCATTTAAACACCCCCAGTTTTGAACTGCTGAGAAACTTCCCGAAAAAGTCTCCTTTTTTGGCAGAAATGCCTCTCGTGTTGGGTGTGCGCCCACACGGCATTGCCTGAAGGGGGGTGGAAATCGGCTCTGTGATGGCTGGCGTTCCAGAAGCTTCCATCCCTGCTTTCGGGCTATTGATCACCACCCGGTTTTCAGCGTGCACACAGGCTCCCGTTGTTTCGGTTTAAGATTTCTTCCCGATCGAGGGGATGGGGGATGGAGAGACATTCTCGTCCGTCTTCACCTTTTCTTGGAGAGAAGGGGTGAGGAGTGAAGACTGTGGCCAGTCCAGGCGACGAGGACAGCTCACAGGGGGCCACTCAAGTTCCCTCCCACGGCCTACCCTGCCCCGCGCTGCCTTGTGTGTTTGCAAGTATTTCCCAAAGGAGAAAAAGTACCGGACAGAAACTCCCCTCGTCCCTCTACACCAGGGCTTCTCCACCTCAGTGCGCTGACATCCTTTGATCATTCTGTGCTGTGGGGGCCTGTCCCGCGTATTGAAAGATACTTAGCAGCATCCCCGCCTCTCTCCCAGGAGCACTACCCGCCCCAGTCCTGACCATCAGAAATGTCTCCAGATGTTGTCAGATGTCTCCTGGGAGCAAAATTGTCCTCTGTTGAGAACTACTGGTCCAAACCCAGCTTTGAGATTATCTTTTCCTTCCCTAGGTCACCCAGGAATCAGGGCAGCCTCCCTGACTCCTGCCTGACAACACCCCACCCCAGTCACTTACCAGTGTCATGGGACAGTTGAACCTTCAGTCGAATCAGTGGGTTGCTCAAGAGGCAGTAAACCCTGCTAACCTGGGAGCTGTTTGAAAACAGGAATTAAGTGGTATCCATCACGGAGCTTGGCATGTTCTAGAAGCTCAGTAACAGTTAACTGAACAAATGCCCAGCACTGTGCAAAGAACAGAGGATGTACAAAGGGAATGTGTAACTGGGGAAACACAAGTGCAAGATGTGGGCTAAAATCCAACAGATCAATGATGTGCTCCGTTGGCCCAACTGTGGGCAAAACAGCCCCCCCCCCATACACTGCTGGTGGGAAAACAAAATAGAACAAACTTTATGCAGGAATTTGGCCACATGTAGCATTTATTCCTTGGGCCAGAAATTCCACTTCTAGGGATCTGTCCCAAATATGCACTGGCAAAAATAGAAAATCGTGTTTGAGGGCCGGCCCGTGGCTCACTATGGTGAGTGCGGTGCTGATAACACCAAGGCCACGGGTTCAGATCCTATATAGGGAAGGCTGAGCATGGTGCTGACAACACCAAGCCAAGGGTTAGATCCCCTTACCAGTCATCTTTAAAAAAAAAAAAAGAAAATCATGTTTGCATGGGGTTATTCACTGTGGCATTCTTCTAGTTTCAAAAGATTAGAAACACACCAGAGCCCATC